TAATAATTAATAATAAATAAAAAATTGAAAAACAAAGTTGACATTTTGACATTCTTTCCATTTTGCAGGGTTCGAACATGACCCATTTTTCCTGATTTTTTTTTTTTTCAAAATTTTTTAAATTGAATGTTTAATCAAAAAGGTTCTCAAAATGGAGACTGAAATTTTTCTGTTACTGAGAAGTCGGTTTTTGGAAAAATAAAAACTAGCAATAAAAAATTCAGTGAAAATTCAATGGAAATTAGCACTTTATTTATTTATTTATTTTGCAAATCAGTGGAGATTTTTGAAAAAACCAACCAACCACACGTGCAAACATTTCTGAAAAAAAAAAACAGCATTTTTCACAAACTCCCCTATATCTCTTTGTATAAAAAAATTGTTTCCATCTTTATTTGCTGTCTGGGCCTTGCTATTAAAAACCCTATTCCTGGTTTCTACCCTAGTTGAATCCTTCCTTAGATTCAAGTCATAGCTTCTTATGCTGCCATTGGTCAAGTCTGAACAATTCTCTTCTTTCATTTATACTGTTACCTCAATGGAGTTTATTTTTAATCATAAATTATGTTGTTCCTTAAATGCTTCATTACATGGTAAAAATCACAGGGAATAATCTTCCCTGGAAGCCAAAATACATACAAAATATACAGTCGGCGATGTGATAGCAAGGAGAATATATTTCTACTATAAGCCATCAAATATAGACCTAAAACCTGGAGAATTAGACAAAATTCCCATAAACTAAAATTAGAAAAAGAAAGAAAACAAGAAAAACGTGATGTGAAAGACACCCCATTAATACAGGCTGAAAAGTGACTCGCGGAATGCCTCTCTGATGGCGAAAGCACCATGAAGACACCTACGTAACCTCTCTGTTACTAGGCCCATCATGAACTCCTAACTGGACATGACCTGAACATAGGTTCATAGATTCGAAGGCCAGAAGGGACCATTTTGATCATCTAGTGTGACCTCCTTTAGAACATGGAACAGGGAACGTCCCCAAAATAATTCCTAGAGCAGATCTTTTAGAAAAACATCCAGTCTTGATTTTAAAATTGTCACTGATGGAGAATCCACCCTCCTCCCTTGGTAACTTGTTCCAATAGTTTGTGGTGGATTCTGCTCTTACTTCCACCCATGTAAATAAGGAGTAGCTGCACTGCACTCAGCAAGTCACACTGCCGCCAGTGAGGCCAAAGGCAGAGCCAGAGAGCTTTTGCAATAAGTTATGTAAATGGCCCCACAGCATAATTCTCAGGTTGTGCTGCAATATCTAGGTATTTTTATAGGCTGCAACCCTGTGTCCCCGAGCCTTCTTCTTTCCAGACTATATATTTTTAGCTGCCTTGCTCATTCCTCCTCATACATCTGATCTTCCATTCCTGCAGGACACCAGCTTCTGGGTGGAGGTCATGTGAGAACACACCGTCTCCTGGGATGTCACAGTTTTCTCTTGCTGCCAGCAGGGGATGCATGTTTCCTTAAATCTATAGCAGGAACCTGACGGGGCTGGAGAGGGTTTGAGGCAGCAGCTCTGCAGAGGGGGTTCAGGAATGACACTGTTTCCTGTAGTCCATTAAAGTTCCTTGTTCCGCGCTAGAAGAAAGTGGCTCTCTCTTGTGATTCGTTACCACTGTCACATGACACAAAGCAAAACGAGGAAGTACACAAAAGAGCAGCACAGAAATAGGCAGGGAAGAGGGGAAAACTATGCTGTAGCTCCACAAAGGCACTGGCTTGAGCAGGCCCTATTTTATCCTAGCCCATCCGTGCCCCCCAGCAAGAGATGCTGCCCAGGTCTAGTCCCTGGCATCACAATGGCTCAGTCCTGTATATGCTACATGTACCTGGGAACCCTAAAAACAATGCATAGCCATGGAAAACCAGCAACAATGCCACCCGGGGCCCCTGATGAAAACTCTTACCACTGCAGAACAAGGCACAATTTCCAGCTGTGATAGTGAAGTGCACATATAAGAGATGATACAATCTATAGTGACGGGACTGCAAAAGGCATTGATCTGATTATGGGCATTGACTGGTATGGGAAGGGTTTGCAGAGAGCGCACAAGACGTCTTATGCAGCGTCTCTGTGACTTCCCCATGGTATTCCTGCCACACACACAGCTAGAGCGATGTGACGGGCAACCAGCAAGGAACTCAGAGTTGGACAGGTGCATGCTGCGCAGCAGGGGGTGTATATGTGTATGTGCATGGGGGGGGGGAGTCATTTATTTAAAAGGGGAAAACTGAATTGCTTTTTAAAAATGGGTAAGGCAGATTATTTGAGGCCCCACGTGTGCAGAAGAAAGTAACTCCTCCCTTGCATAGCTGCTACAGTCACTAACACAAAGCGAGAAGTGCCGCTCCTGTTTGAGGGGTTGGTGGGCTCAGCAGTAGCTGCCGGAAAAACCAGCTGTCTTTCTAGATACTTGTGTGACTCCAGTGAGGGGAGCATCTGAGTGTCTCCTAAGTACATAAAAATAGAAATGCTAATCTCTCCACTTCCTTCCCAGCCCATGGGAGAAACCCTTCCCTGCAACTGTCGCTATTAGGAGGAAGGGGAGGAGCAAAACACGCATCCCTGACCTCAAGTCTTGGTAGGTGCCACGGCTTTCCCATCCCTCTGTAAAGGCTATGGCCCAGGTGGCATGAGGGCAAACCTCCCCTGACTGACATTCGATGTAGACTTTAATTCATGATTGTGACATCATAATGATGAAACCAATAGGATTCCAGTATGCAAATGATTCAAATGGGACTGACCGTATATGTTGCTTGGCACATTACCTGGGGATGGGAAATGGGCAAGGCATGAGGAGGCAAGTAGCTGGTGCGGTGGCAGTGGCTGGCCAAGGACGGGAGCTAGGGATAGAGCTGAGCAGACTTGGCAGGGTAGAGGGAGGGCGTGGGAAGAGACGGGCGGATTTGTGCAGGCCGCAGCAGGGGATGGGTTCCAGGTGTCCCCGTGTTGGAGTGTGAGGGAGGGCTGCCACCCAGCAGTCTGAGCGGAGGAAGTGGCACATGCAGGGTGGTACCTGCACATGCAGTGTGTGGCAGAGTGAGGTACACAGGAGAGCTGGGCTCGGGGACAGCTCTGAGGTTATGGACCAGAGAAGCAGATGGGAGGTCAGAGCTGAGAAGGGATCCAGGATGTGTCTGACAGTTCCCAGACAGCTCCCTGCCAGCCCCCTTGGGGTGCCACTTGTGCCCTCCCCATCCATGGATTGTGAGGCAGTGGAACGCTGTGCTCTGCGCGTCCCACCATGACATGTTCCCAGTTTCTCTCTGGGCACCCATGCTGAGAATCTGGGGGACTCCTGCCATTCTGGCTCGGGCTCTGGTGGGCCCTGCCAGCGACGGTGTCACATGGCCGGGCATGCCCAAGCAGGCGCTGATGGCACCAAATCCCGCCCAGATGGTCCGTATAGACGCGGCCTCCGGAAGGACCTTGTCTGCCCAAATGCTCCTCTCCACTCCAGAGTGCAATGCAGCCAAGTTGATGTGATTCAGGACACCAGAAGCCCGTGCAGGGCTCCACCCCTCCTGAGCGTCAATGGGCACAGGGGAGGGGCTGATCGACGCCCCAGCACATGGCTCCACGGGCCATTCTTCTTGCCCCAGCCCTGAGGCTGCAGTAGCAGCTACCGAACCATTCCACCGCCAAGGAGGGCTGAATCCTCTCCTGGCCCTCCCGGTGCCAAGCCGTTCCACATTCATGCTCAGCTTGGGGAATAACCTTCGGAGCCCAGGACACACTGGAGGGAGAGCTGGGATCTGTCAGCCACTCTCCCCTCTTGTTCTTGTGAATGATAAAGGATGTCCTTAAAAGGATAAAACTCCTGCTGCCAGTCCCCTGTGTGACAATGCTAGAAGGCAGCAGCTGGGTATGGCCATGGTGGGAGAGGCTGGGGAAGCGGAGGGGGAGGAGGGGCGGGAGGGCTGTGGGGAGCTCGGCGTCCAGTTACAAGGCTGTTTCCATACTTAGCCACCTTGCAGCCGCCTGGGATACGCAGCCCCAGCCCGTGTAGCAAAGAGAGACCAAATTAACTCAAGGGCAAGCAAGGGTAATGCTGATTTGCTTGCCCCATTCCTCCGACAGCAACCCAAAGGAGAGAAGCCTGCAGGAAGCAGCCACACACAGCCCAGGAATCCGTGGAGCTGGGCCCTATGATGGCATGGGGTCACTGCCCTATGCATGGGGGAGAAAGTGGGGGGCCGAGGGGAGGTCCTGGGGATGTGACTCAAAATACCGAACTGCACCTACATTTTGCCTGGCACATCTGCAACATCAGGGCAAGGAAACGGAGAGGAACCCCCGCACACACACCACCACCGTGCCCCACGGTAAAATGCAGCCCAGCCTCCCCCAGTGCAGCACAGAAAAAAAATCAGGCATTGGATAGTTGCCGTGCTCCTGCGCTGCCTCCCACGGCTGGGACATTCACGGAGTCCCTGACTCCGGAGTGACTCCAGCGCACGGGCAGGCCCAATATAATGCCCAGCCACCGCGCAGAAATAACCCACCCGCTGCATCAAAGTCTGCCCTTCGCATGCAACATGGACACAGCAAAAGAACACCCCCCCACACGCCTGCCTGCTGCAGGACAGCCTCACTGCATCATGGCAGCTGCCCCCAAAAGGCACGGGGGCTGCCCGGGTCAGTTCAAGCCAAGATACCCCCCAGGGGCCTCCGAGTTCGACAGCTCCCTACAGGGTTCTACTCATGCCATACCCAGTGCTTTCTAGGCACCTGCCCTAGACCTGAGTGGCTTGCACACCCCAGCTGCGGGCTGGGGGTACAGTCACTGCCCTGGAGCAGGGGACAGGCCAGACAATCCCCCTGTTGTGCCCACACAGAACAGGGGAGCTGGCAGAGAGGGGCACAGCTGAGGCAAGGGAAGGGCCCCAGAACCTCAGCACACACAATGCACAACCCCTGACAGTGTCCGGGGGCCCTAGCCCCCTAGGCAGTGGGGAGCAGAGGTGGGCCTTACCTGCAGCCCCGAGGAGCAGGAGAGACGCCACGCAGCAACACAGCAGCCTCAGTCCCTGCATGGTGGCTGCCAGGAGCTCTCTGCTGCTCGGCACCTCTATTTATACAGCAGCTGGGAGAAGGGGACAGGCCACAGTCACTAGGGCAACTGGGCGGCAGCACAGCCCTGCACAGATAGAGTCTGCCCGATATGCCCCCTCCCTAGTGTGGGTCTCAGGCCCTGCCTCCCCTCCCCGCCCCGAGTGTGCTGGAGGATTTTCACAGGGTTACACTCAGCTCTAACTGTCACAAACACCATGAAACAGGGGCTCCTGGCGGTGACGGCACAACTGCAGAGAGAGTGCAGAGAGAGGGTTATGCGGGGGGGGGAGGGGGAGGAGCGCCTGGAGGACACTAGTCTGTTCCGTACAGCTCCTTATACCGTGCCCATCACTGTAATATCTGAGCCCCTTTAGAAGTGCATTAAACAGGGGAGCAGGGCGTCCCCAGGGTGAGAGCACAGCCGGGGGGGGGGGGGGGGGGGGGGGGGGGGGGGGGCTGCCAGGCGGGGTGTTCCCAGGGGTGAGAGCACGGCCAGGGGTGTAGTGCATTAGCGATCATTCCTCCCCCTCTGGTTCAGCGGGAGGCCACTTCGCCTCACTACAGCACTGGGGCACCAAGCAGTCTCAGGGAATTAGCGCCAGAACTCCAGGCCCCTTTGGTAGGGAAGGGCGGAGTCCCACAGCAGGCGAACACAGACCATTTGGCCTACGTTGGGGAGGCTGCCATCATAGGGGTGGAGTTGGCAGCAGGGGGACCAAAGTCTGGTTTCCTTTGGACTGCTTCTTACCACCGTCTGGCCAAGGGGTTCCATAGCCCAAGGGTCCTCTGTCTCATCGGGGTATTGAGCCGCCGGCAATCCTAGTCGCTCCGCTCCACTCTCAGCTTCCTCTGGGGTCAGGGTGCTCCATGGCTCGATGCAGAGCCCAGGGCCTGCAGCAGGTTTGGGATATCCATCTCCTTCTCTGGCTCAGGCTCAACTGGGCTAGAGGCCCCACCTCTTATACTTCCCGTACCGCCCCTTAGCTTCCAGCATGTGTGGCAGGCCTGGCCTGGCTCTACCCACCAGGGAGCTCAGTGATCCCTACCCCTCTGGCTCAGTGGGAGGCCCCTCCGCCCCACTACAGGGGGCTATAGGGCAGGGGGCAGTGTGTTACTGGGGTCAGTGCACAGCAGAGGGGCTTATAGGTTGGGGGTGGGGTGTGTTTCTGGGGTGGTAGCACAGCAGGGGTTGGTTATAGGGCAGGGGTGGGGTATTACTGGGGTCAGCACACAGCACGGGGGGTTATAGGTTGGGGGGGCGGGATGTTACTGGAGTAAGAGCACAACAGTGGAGCTATAGGGTGCGGTTGATGATATCACAGTATGTGGGGTGAAGGAACAGCTGAAGCTGCTGACATTGCCAGAAGAGGGGGAGGTTTGTCAAGGGGACAGTGTGTGGGGATCTCGGGGAGGGAGCTCTGGGAATGGTGACGGGGGTCCCACGAACAGGTGGCTCGAGTGTCAGCCAGGAGGTCTGCTGGCGTTGCCTGGAGAGCAGGATGATTGAGGAAGGATTGTAGAGCCGTAAGGAGGGAGGCTGAAGAGAGCTCAGCTTGGTGTCCGCAACTTCAGGAGCTCCCCACATCGGCAGATCGTGGTGGGCTTGGGAGGGGAAAGATTTCTCAGTGTCTCCCAAAGGCATCCCAGCAGCAGGAGGTGACATCAGACAGACAGGTCACTGCACAATACGTAGATATATCTGTAAATAATTACAAAGCTCAAGGCAGACTGACAGAAGGGGAAGATGTTTCAGTGCATACAACAATTTCTTTAATGCTTCCAGTTCCATGTTAGATCAGATTTGTTCTTAGAGTAAGAAATAAAATACATTATTTTCATTAACTCTAAGACTAAGCCTGATATGTCCCACTAAGTTATTTAGACACTGGAACATTCCCCGGGGTACAATCTGGACTGATGGACGGTATGTCCCCTGAATTCTCCAAATTAGGGTGCCTTTTACACTGCTTCGCTTTGAGAGCAACAACTCCTGGTCTGCTCAGACACAGCCTCTAGCATGTAAATGACTCCCAGCTTTATGTGTGAGTGTTTAGCCAGCCACCCATGAATTGCATTGCAGGGCCACACCAGCAAACTCCCAGTCCCAGACTTGTCCCCAGAAATGTGTGGCTTGTTCTGCGAAGCTCTCTCCTGGACAATACAAACTCATAGAAAGTCTGACATTTTATTAATAGAAGATGATGTGCACAAACCCTGCTATCTCAAATGGGAGTTCCCAAACACACTGGTTTAGATAAAACAATAAAAACCAGAATATTAACTATAGAAAGATAGATTTTAAATAATTACTTTAATGAGGCATAAAAGTCAGAATTGGTTACAAAGAAATAAAAGGTAAAACGCAAACTAATACCTAACTTAACAAGCTAAGTGAACTTAAAGCAAAAGGGTCTCTCTCACCACATATTCTTCTGCAGACTGGCTGGATCTTTCAGCCAGGATCTCTTCCCAGTCTAATGATGCTTCCTTTGCCTTTCAAGAGTTGTCAGTGCCATGAGTAGAGATGAAGAGAGAGATGATTTGTGTCCTCTGTTCCTCATTTTTATATCTTTTCCTGCTCTTTCAGAATCATTTCCAGCTGGGGTTCAGGAGACAGCAAGTCTGTGAGACAGGAACTTCCAGCTGTTCCTTTGCCAACATGTAACTTTCTTGCTCACACCTTTGTTCCTGCCAAAGAATGGCGGCTTAATCAGGTGATAGTTCATTTGATTATGCTGACACCTGGCTGAGGTGCTGCCTAGCCTTTTATTTCTGGAGAATTGGTTTGAAACTGTTTCCCAAGACTTGGAACATGTCTTACAAAGTAGAATTTTATAACGTCACATATGATGTTGCCACACATATTTTACCAGGACAATAATGTTCATCACATTACAAGTTTTCAAATGATACTTAGTTCAAAAATAATCATAGTCTTGTAAAAAGGGTGAACATAAGGATACAGGCTGTTACAGACACCTGATTGCCACTTCTCAAAGTGACACCACATAATAATTACCACAAGCAAGTGTGTACTCGGTGCATTTGCTACTTTCACCTCCCTCTCCTCCTGGTGATATGGAAACAAAGTTCTTTGTTAATCTCAGTCCTAGAGGGAGTCAGAAATTTGTCATCAAAACTGTTTCTCATTGAAAAACAGTTTTCATCACAATGTTTTGAGAAACATGTGACTTTCGATGAAATTTCATTTGGGGGTGTCGTGGCAAGAATCACCCACGCAGTGATTTTAGTTCACAGACTCAGAGCCTGAGGCCTTTATTGCAATACAAACCAGTGCGCACTGGGGTGCAGCTCGAAAGCTGGCACACCGAACAGCAGCACGCAGGCTGCTTTTATTTACTAAAACCACAAGCATGATACAATTAATACGTCATTAGTTAAGAAATTAAGAACCAATCATAAGCTGGGCATATAGTGGACACGAGCTCGGGGACAAATCACAAGCCGGGCTTTGGGTGAACACGCGTTAGTCACGAGCTGGGGTGTTGGGTTGGGGTCACTCTTCCCTCCTCCCCTCGCCCTCTTTCTTAATGTTCCGAGAAGTGGGTGTAATTGGGCATGGGGACATTCGGTGGTTTTCCGCAAGGGTGGTGCTTGGCCCTAGCTTGGGTACATTTCTTAAGACTTAGTACATGTCATTTTCCGGGGGATTTTGACAAGGGCTAAGGGGGGGCTTTTCAGGAGATGCTTAAAGGGGAACTATTATAGGTTATTTGCAGATAGTTGGAATTGGAGAATTTGCAGATAGCTACAACTGCAAGAGTGATTAGCTCTTTGCAAAAGCAATTTCTTAATGTATTTCATAAACTTGCGGTTAATATATTTTGTGTTTCTTTCCTTCCTCTCTTTCCCTCCTCTGTGACTACTTTTGTCTGGGTTTTGGCAGAGAATTGATTTGAGCAGTATTGTTCAGGCTTTTAGGCCTTCTCTACTCTGCACAAAGGTCACCATCATGACAGCCTTCTGTTGGAGGTGTTTTGGGGCCTGTAGGCCCAGAACTTTGGCTATCGGAAAGAAGGCCCCTCTGTCCTGTTCCTCCACAGGGGAAAACGGCCAAAATTGGAACAGAGTGTTTTGATTGTATTGAAATGAAATGTTTTAATCCAAAATAGATTTTTTTTTCTTTTGGGAATTTTGTTTCGGGAGAAATTTTTGAATTTTTTTTTGTTTTGGTTCCATTTCAGAATGGAAAAAAAAAATCAAAATTGTGGACTTTCCCATCAACTGAAAAATCCCGGTCCTGCCTAGCTCTAGTCAATACATTTGTAAAGGGTGATATTCTACAACTGATTGATTTGTGACACTGAAAATAAACTAGCACAAAGAATCTCCAAACAGATCCTGGAGCACAAGGACCACAGCTAGTGTGTACAAAATGATTAGCACTCACCCAATCTGAATGTCAAAGATACTTTCAAGAGCACATAGGAGGTGCTGGAAGAGGTGTGTGAAGTAAACATGGCTCAAGTACTACCCAGGTTTGAAAGGAAGGGCTTGTCAACATTACAGAGCCTTTGCTAGTATAGCGATGAAGGCAAAGCCCCCTAGTGGAGATGCAGGGTATGCCCGCGAAAGAAGTTCCACCGGCATAGCTACACCGTCTCCCCAAATGACAATAAATATGCTGATAAAAGTACTAGGTGGATGATCAACTGAAAATGCCCAGCCACCTCCAAGCATAAAAACATATTGGCTCAATGGAGATAAAATTGTTTCAAATGATGGGCTTCTGTACAAAGGACATGGCAGCTTATGGATGATCCCATGGTTTGGGCAATAACCTTGTCCTCAGGAGATCTGGGTTCAAATCCCCACTCTGTGTGCCCCTGGGCAAGTTCCTTAGCCTCTCTGGTCCTGAGTTTCCCATCTGTAAGATGGGGATAAAAGCACTGCCCTGCATTAGCGGGGTATGTAAGGATAAATGAATGTAAAGACAGTGAGGTGCTCAGATGGGGGCCAGATAAGAACCTTACACAGTATAATTACTCACAGAATGAACTGAGGTAGCCATATTGGTCCCAGGGTATGAGAGACACGGTGTGGGAGGTCA